CGTTACTGAGCAGGTGCCAACCAGCTTTTGTGCCTCATCAGAAATCGCGGGACACCTTTTGTTTTATTTTGGAATTTTTTGAGGTGCGGGCACTGGTCTTGTGGTGTTTGGGGGCTGAACTCCTAGCTCTGTGCTCAGGGCTGCTGCTAGTGGTACTCAGGAGACCATGCAGTGCCAATGACCAAACCAAGGGCCAAACACATGCAAGGCAAGTGCTCTACCACTGAGGCACACTCCTGCTGTTCAATCTGTCACTTTGTTTTCAGGGAGGAAACTACATCTAGCGGTGCTTGGGTTTACTTCTGATTCTGTGCTCAGAGATCACACCTGCACACACTGCACAAGGAACCAAATGTGGTGTCTGGGATCAAACCAGGATCAGCTGTGTGCAAGGCAAGTACCCTCCCTGCTGTACTATCTCTCTGGCCTGCTCTGATTGCCTTTGAAAGCACCCAGCAATAATAAGCTGTTTGTCACTTTCTGGCTCACCCTGAAACACCCTGAAACACCCCATCTCTCCACCCAAGGCCCCAAGCTTGTGTCAACCTGAGAAAGTGCCTCATGCAACCCAACCTTACTGCCACCAGGCTTGGCCCTTGCACAACTAAGGGCCAGGCTGTGGGAGAGAATCGTGTGACTTCCTGGGATCTGTTAAGATGCATTAAGCAGAAACAGAAAACTACTGGGCCAGAGCAATAGTACAGCGGGTAGGGTGCGTATCTTGTACCAGGCCTACCTGAGTTTGATTCCTGGGACTGAACGTGATCCCAAGTTCCCCACCAGGAGTGATCTGTGAGTGCAGAGCCAGGAGTAAGTCCTGAGCACAGCCAGGTGTGAACCCCCCCACCCCCATAGAAGATTAAAGGTGCCAGCATTAAGCCATCTGAATATTTACCATTTGCCTAATAAGAAATCTGAGAGTCTGTGCTGGGGAAGCTTAGGTGTGTCAGTGATGTAGTTAAGGAACCAGACTTTCCTCTCTGCCCTTCTCAGGGCATCTGCAGTGTATCTTTGCGGGATCACAGGCTGGCCACACCAGCTTCCCATCCTTGGGATGACTCCAAATCGAGAAGAATCTTGGTATATTTTTTTCTGGCACAACTCTCTTTTTCTGAGTATCCTGAGTGATTTTCCCAAAGTCTTCAACTGATTTCCAGTTACATTGTATATGACCAATTTGTCCTGGTACGCCTGGTACTGTTCTGATTTTTGCAGGGGGCAGACCCAGCAGTGCTCTGGGCTTATCCCTTACTCTGTGCTTAGGGATCAGTCTTGGGGGTACTCAGGGGACCATATGGAGTGCCAGGGATCAGGTAGGCCAGCACCAACTTTTCCAATTTTAGCACTGAAATGCTCTCATCCAAAGAAGCCCCTTATTCCCAACCAGATATGAACCCTCATTCTCCCTCCTTAATTCCATGCACTGAAACGGCATCTATGTCCATCTGCCATACTCCCTGTTAATGGAAATGGCATCATCCCCGTGCCCCAGCTCTGGACATGTGGCTATTTGGACAGGTCTGGGGTGCTGTGAGCCAGGCAGCAGGACTGGCTGCAAGGGGAGCTCCACTGTGGTGTGGCCCACACGGTGATTATCAGAAATTAGCCAGGACCCTCCCCCCAGACAGGCTATCTCCTCCCCAGCATGGCAGGCCCCAAGCTGTGCGTCTGTAGCTAAATGTGAAAGACATGCCAGAGAGAAAGCACAGTGCCCATCTTGCATGTGGCCAATCAGGGTTAGATCTCTGGCATCCCATATGGTTCCCTGAGAACTGTGAGGAGTGATTCCTGAGTGCAGGGCCAGGAGTAACCCCTGAGCATCACTGGATATGGCAGCCCCCCCGCCAAATCAAAATAGATAAATAAAAAATAAAAGCCAGTGGGCCTGAGAGATCATACAGGGGATAAAGTACTTGCCTTGCATAAGGCTAACCCTGGCTGAATCCTGCATATGGTCCCCTGAGCACTGCCAACAGGGATCTCTGAGCATAGAGAAAGAACAGCCCTGAGCTCCACTGGGTGTGACCTACCAAAAGCAAAACTAAACTAAAATATTAAAAGCAGTGACATAAAGAGCACATTATTTATAAACCTGGAAATGGAGTTCTATTGACCCATGCATTCATTTATTAAGAAAAATTATTTATTGAGTGTCCATGATGTGTCGGGACCATATATTGTATGGCTCCACTTATAAGAAATATTCAGAATAAGTGATCCATAGACCAAGAGAAAGATGACTGTTACTTAGGGCTAGGAAGGCAGGGGAGCAATGGCTAAAGAGCACAACAGTTCCTTCCGGGTTCAGGAATAGTGATTGTAGGATACAATCTGGGAATGCTGCATGCCTGTCATAGGTGACTTGTATAGTATGTCACCTCAGTGACATGCTCGGGCGCCACTCCCAGTTCTGTGTTCAGGGATCATTCCTGGCAGTGCTCAGAAACCCACACAGTGCCAAGATCAAACCTGGGTCTCCTGCATGCAAATCTATGTGCTCAGCCCATTGAGCTAGTTCTCTCACCAACCAAGATGTTCCTTTGATTTGTTTGTTTTGTTTTGGGTAACACCTGAGAGTGCCCAGCCTCTGTTCCTGACTCTGTGTTCATAGGTCACTCCTTATGCTGCTCAAGGGACTGTGCAGTGCCAGGGATCAAACCTGGGCTTTCTGCATACAAAGCATGTGCTTCAGCCTTTTGAACTATCTCTCTGGACCATAATGTCCTTCACAAAGTTTGCTAATCTTTGTTCCGGATGATCAGGAAAGGACTTGAATGAAGCAGAATTTGAGTGTCTCCTTTTGTAAATGAGTCAACATTCTTGAATAGTAAGAGATGGCATTTCCTGAGCAATCATATGCCAGGAACCATGTGAAACAGTTTGCCATCACCCTCTCATTTAGTCCTTATGAAAATCCAACTTAGATACTGACAACTCCATATAACAGATGAAGAAATTGGGACACAGAACTAGGTGACTTTCTGCAGGACCCACAGCTGCTAAATGACAGGAGTGGGACCCAATTCCAGCTATTTTGGACTTTAAAGTTCGTTTCTTAAAAAGTTAGCCACACTTCACATAGTCCCGTGTCCTTTCTCTGAATTCCTGATCTTTCCAAAATCAGGAAAATGACCCAAAGAGGAGAAGAAAAGTGGGGAAGGGCACACCAGGTATAGAAGAGAGCAATGAGCAATGAGAGGCTTCTGGAAGCGTCCCAAAATACTGAGCAAGACAGTAAAGCAGTATTTCCCAAATAATATGGCACAGAAATCGCCAGTGAAAGAAGAGAGGGAGAGACTTCTTTAAATGTTAGGCTCCCGCGTGTCACTGCCAGTGGTTCTGATTAAGAGGTGACTTGAGCTCAGGAGAGCAGGAAAACAACAATAATAAGTTCCCTGGGAGGTTCTCATGCCAATGATGACCCTGGACCTCCCTGGGGAATGCTCAGCAGAAAATTCAAAGAGAGCACAAGACTTCTCTGGATATCCCCGGCCCAATCCTAACATTCCTTCTTCCACCTCCCTCCCGGATACCCCATACCCCTGGCTTCCCTCTCTTCTCCCAGGGCCCAGATGTCTTGCCAGGTTCTCAGGTTCTGCTCTTTTCTCCACCTGGCATGACCTTTCTTTCCATCCTATCTTCTGCCATTCTCCTCCAAAAGGCCTCATCACATCTCTCCTTCCTGATTCTCCCATTCCACAAAGGTTTGGGAGTCTGCTGCTGTGTCTTCCTGGCGAAGGCTTGCTTGACCACATGCAAGTTTCTTCATTGCATCTGTAAAGTGACAATAAAAAGCAAACGAGAAATTATAAGCAAGCAACACTGTATAAAATTAATAAACAATGGCGAGAAGTCACATATATTTTGGTTTGTGGGCCATACCTGATAGTGCCTGAAGCCACTCCCAGCTTGAGAGTGGTGCTTGGGACATCACTCTCAAAATGCATGTAGTGTGAGGGGTGGAACCTGAAGCTCCCACATGTGCTGTAGTCCTTTAAGCCAACTCCCTGGCCCCCATTTTTATTCTCCTTTATCTCTAACGTGACAAGAGCTCTTGGGTCAAGTAGTGCACTGAGATGTGCAATTAATACCTGTTATTAGTCCCATTTTGCAGTTGAGTAAAATGCATCAGGGATATGCAGAAACTTGTCCAAGGTTACCCAGTCAGAAATTGGTAGTACTTGGATCTGAACAGAGGCTGCAGGCCCTCAGTTCTACTGATTCTCAGTGGTAGAAGTCTCTATGAGATGACAAATGCCAGGACTCTGGTCTAGAGGATGGGATTTAAAAAAACTTCCTACATCCAGGAAAAGGAGGAAAAATTACTCAAAGACTTTATTGATCATGATACCTCATGCTTTTATTTGATTGCACACAACATCTTAAAGTCTTTAATGAGAACAGCATATAAAAATACTAAAAAAAAAAAGAACCAAAAAACCAAAACCAAAAAACAAACTCATAATGGTGTTCCACTCAAAGCTTGGTGGGTTCAAGTTTGTCAGTCTGTTTCGGTGGTAGTAGTTGTGGTGGTGGTGATGGTAGTGGTGGTGGTGGTGGTAGGGTGTGTGTGTATGTGAGTGTAATTGTCATTTTAGGACATTAAGATAATGCAGAGATATCGGGATAAAAGGAAGAGGTCAAGGTCGTGGATCTGGCCCAGTCTCCTCCCTCATGTTCTGACTGTTACTCTAATTTGTTGGCATCTCAAATATTGCATCTATGTTGAATCTCATGGAGAGATTTCATTCAAGAACTTACTGGGGGGGGAAAATCACTGAATATTATTTTGCAATTAAGGTGCCATGTGGAATTGAGATCCTTCCATTCTGATGCCAAATTATATTTCAGTTCAGGTCATTCGTCTCATGTACCTTCTTCTGAGCTCTGTACAAAATGCAGGTAGACTAGAAAACTTCTTCTATGAACTGAGATTTTTCTATAAGGACAATTTCTTCTCTGAAGGACATCTACAACCTGTACTATAGGTGCCATGTCTCCGTTCACATGGAATCCCAACTTCTGCTGGCTCAAGAAGCCAGTGGGAGAAATAATGCTGGACAATTCCATTGATTGAACCCAAACCCCAAACCAATTAGAATTAAACCAAATCTCAGGAAGTTGTTTTTTTTTTAAAAAAAAAATTCAGATGGGGTGACAGGACACAAAAGCTAAGAATCGTCACCAAAGAACACTAGGAGGCTTTCCGGAAATGGATAACATTCTGGAAGGCTTGTCGAAATTCTTCATTAAACACCGTATAGATTATAGGATTGATGAGGGAGTTTAAATAGCCTAGCCAGGTGAAAAAGTCAAAAAGGGCTGGGTGGATCCAACAGGAGTCCCGGCAGATGGGGAGGACCAAGGATACCACAAAGAAAGGCAGCCAGCAGATAATGAAGGCTCCCAGGATGATGCCCAGAGTTTTAGTGGCTTTCCTCTCCCGTGCAGCTGAAATCCTCTTGCGCTCCAAGATGCTATCAGCCAGCTTGATTTTCACGTGATTGAAAAAGAGAGGGGAGCCAGCAGAATGGGAGTGCCCCTCATGAAGGCTGGAGTGGAGCGAGCAGAGTGAGGAGCCTGCTGAGCCGGTGATGAGCTGGGCAGTGGTGAAGCGCTTCCCATAGAGCGACGGCGGATTCAGGATGCGGTTCCGGGCAGCCATGTAGATTCGGCCGTAGAGAATGATGAGCAACACAGATGGGATGTAGAAGGCCCCGCATGTGGAGTAGATGGTGTAAGAGATCTGAGAAGTGTTCACCACACAGTCTGAGATCTCTTCATGAGCTTTGGTCTGCCTCCAGAAGAACGGGGGGATGGAGATACAGATGGAGATGGCCCAGACCACGGCGATCATGGCAGCCGCATGGCCCGCTGTCCGGCGCTTACTATACTCTAGAGCATCAGTGATAGCCCAGTATCTGTCCAGAGCAATGACACAGAGATGCAGGATGGAGGCTGTGCAGCACGTGATATCAGAGGACAGCCAAATGTCGCACAGGATCTGGCCAAAGCTCCAGGTGCCAGTGATGGTATAGGCTATGCTGATGGGCATTACCAAGATGGAAACTAGGAGGTCAGTGGTGGCCAGGGAACCGATGAGATAGTTGGCCGGTGTGTGGAGCTTCCTGGTGAGGAAGATGGTGGTAAGCACGAAAGCATTGGACAGGACCGTGGCCAGGGTGATGATGGACAGGACCACAGCAAGAGAGATCTGGATTGCCTGGAGGGTCCCTGGATCCCAAGTCCCTGAAGTTCCTTTAGTGCTGAGGGATCTGTTGGAGGCCTCTGGGAGGCTTTTCATGGACTGGTTGGGCAGGGACATTCTAGGTGGTTCTCTCACCCCACAGACCGGTGCGCACACAGATCCTTTTTTCACATCAGTCCTGCCCAAACAACAGTAATCCTTCCTTTACCTGTTGGTACAAGCCTTCCATCCGACAGACCGCAGGGACAAGACAGAGACAGAAATTTATTGGTTTGTTTTTGTGCCACATCCAGTGGTACTCAGGGGCTATTCTAGGCTCTGTGCTCAGGAACAACCACTGGCTGGTATTCTGGGGACCATTATGGTGCCTGCAGATGGCCACACGCACGGCAAGAGCCTTCACCTCTGTGTTATCTCTCCAGCCTTGACTTAACTATTTACAGAACACTGAAGAGACCACTGAGCGTAGAGAAAGGTCTGTCCCAAACCAGACGAGTCAGAAGACATCACACTGTTCTTGAACCTTCTGCAGCAGATCAAGCCCAGCATTTACCAACGATGCATGCTAAAGTTGATGGGCATTTAACATTTATCAGTGCAGGCTGTACTCTAAGAATTCTTCCCTTTGGCATTTTGGTACCTTCCAACGCTTGAAACAGAAACATATTGAATGAGAACTTCAGAATCTCCCCCCATTCTGTTCTGAGAAGATTCTAGCTATCACGTTGCCTTCCTGGAGTTTTTAAATCTCGAGACAATGAGGAGTTCCAGCTAATTCAATGAAGCAGCCCAGTTTTCCAGATTCCTCTTGACACATCATGAAATCCCACCGATCACTCTGAGTCTGAACAAACAAAGTATTCCAGTTACTAAGACTCTAAGAATGCATGGGCCGGGCCACAGAACACACAGAACACTGTGGACTCATCAGGAGGGGCTTGTATGCAGAAGCTCTGAGACTGAAAAGAGAAGAAAATAATTAGGTTCTATAAGGACAATTTAGACACTTGAGATTACCTCTAAGATTTAAAGGCGATTGATGAATGACAGCAGGATGCAGGGAGACCAGCACTCTCCAAAGAATCAGGAGGACACAGGGAAGTGCAATGTCCCCCACCCCCTCAATTCCCAAGGGGACAAAGTATCACAGCTGTTAGAAGTGTCAAAGGCTTGTTCCAAGAACATGAATTGACTCCGTCAGTTGTGAATCAGACATTATTCTCTCTGTCTTCGGCAATCATAAAAGCTAAGTAAGATAACATAGCAAAAAAAAAAAAAAGTCACCAGGAAATTTTTACAGCATTATTTTCCAGGAAGTAGGGAAGGAGAAGAGGACTTTTCTTCCACTCATTAAAATCTTCCAAGTTTCCAGTGCCAGAGCAATAATACAGTGAGTAGGTATTTTGCCTTGCATGCAGTTGATCAGGGTTCAATTCCCAGCATCCCAGGTGGTCTCCTGATACTGCCAGGAGTAAGTATTGAGCACCACTGTATGTGGCCCCCAAACATGAAAAAAAACCCATAAAAACAAAACTTCCTAGTCTCCCAGAGTTAGCATGTATGACTCAAAATACAAATGCCAAACCAAACCACCCCCACCATTTTAAGGAAAGAAATTGATTTTTTAAAAAGGTGGGGTCACAGGCAGTTGGCGATAAAGGGCTATGCTTATGTTTTTCCAGGTGTGGTCCAATCAACCCCCTTAAAACAAACTGGAAAAAAAACTGAACGTATTTCACAGCCAATGATCAAATCCAGAAAATACATTCAGTTTTCCAAACAGAAGTAAAAATTCAGTCACAAAAAGAAAATATTTTTTTCTCTACAGTGTGTCTCTGGCCTTGAATCTGTGTCTCAGAATTTGAACACAGGCAAGCCTGGAAGTTCTTGGGGCTTGCTATGAATGACAGAGTGAAGCCCACCAAGGGCTGTCAGGGCAGACGTATCTCTGGCACAAACCCAGCAGGCAGCGCCTGGGGAGATGGGGCTGGTAAGAACACCAAGGTCCTTGGTCTCGCCTAGGCTGCCTCATTCCCTCCTCCTGTCTTGGATGGAAAATGAAATCTCTGTGATTCGTTCTATTTCTTCCAGGTAAACTTAGCAAACAAGTCTGGAGCATTCATCGCCTGGTAAGGGAGGCAAACATGTAGCTTCAAGTACCCTGTGATGACGCTAGCAAGGCAGAATTATATTATACACATGTTGGGGGCATACCTGGTTTAATGCTAGAAAGATGACAATACGAGGGATTGAACCTGAGGCTCCCACATGTAAAACACGCACTCCAGTCCGCTAGGCCATCTCTCTGTGCCCTAAATGACACATTTTTTTGAAATGTCATCTTTATGATTATGTATGAAAACATGTTCTAGCTTGTACATTTTAAAGTATATTTATTTGGAACAATAAATAATTGACATCAGTCACTGCCATATCATTTTAGGGCATGTGGAAGGTCCCACTGGGAGTATTATATTACAGAGAAGAGATAACTAGTCAAAGTTGCGACATATGACTTTCCCGGTTTCTGGAAAGGCAAGAGCAAAGGTACAGAAATGCGAGAATGACAAGATGATCAGCTGGTCAGAGGGCAGAGAGCAAAGGTGGGAAAGAGATTAAGGATCAGGAGGTGGATGGAATTACCCCTGGCAGTGCTCAGGGCTTGGAGTTGCAGATACCAGGGAGCTTGAACAGGAGAAATCAGGGCTCTGTTCTAACCCTGTTCTGTCTCAACAACTCTCTATCCCTTTCTGAGTCTGGGTTTTATCCTCCAGTGGTCACCCTGCCTGCCCCCTGGAGTGCAAAGAGTTTCTACTGCTTCTGGAAAGGTCCGCCTTTGAAACCACTGAGAACTGTTAAGGTGTCAAGAATCATTAACATCCCCACCTTCCTATCACACGGCTTAGCTCAGGCCTTGTGGGGAAGGTTCAGTCAACGGCTATGATCTGATTTAAACAACATTTTAAGCAGCTAAATCTATAATGGTAGTTTCCCCTCTTTCTAAACTTGGAAGTTTCTCTAAACTCCAAGCTTCATCTTTTTTTTTTCTGCTTTTTGTGTCACACCCAGCGATGCACAGGGGACCACATGGGATGCTGGGAATCAAACCCAGGTCGGCTGCGTGCAAGGCAAATGCCCTACCCGCTGTGCTATTGCTCCAGCCCCCTCCAAGCTTCATCTTTACGTGCTATGAGCCCAGGGACTCTCAAGACTGGGAATCAAAAGACAGGAGCAAATGCTTGCATATTGGAGCCCTGGCTTTGACCCCTGAAAAGCATTGGTCAAATGTAGGAGGTAGGAGGAAGCCTCTCTGAGCCCCAGAACTGACCTAGGAGTAGCCCCTGGGCAATATCAAATACAGCCCATGAACAACAAACTTTGCTAAAAGAAGACCAGAGCGATAGTATAAGAGGTAAGGTACTTGCCTGCACGTGGTTGATCCAGGTTTAATTTCTGGTGCCACAAACTCCACCAGAAAAGAAAAAAAAAAGAAATTGCTAAAAGATATCAGTTCAAGGAGGGAGACAGCCTCAAAACAAACAAACAAACACTGTCCTCCCATTGTTCATCGATTTGCTCGAGCGGGCCCAGTAACATCTCCATTTTGAGACATGTTACTGTGTTTGGCATATGAGCAAGATACTCTTGATAGCTTGCTGGGCTCTCCAAGAGGGGCGGAGGAATTGTACTCGCCAGGCTGGCTGCGCGCAAGGCAAACACCCTACCGCTGTGCTATCAAGAAATTCAATTAAGAAATTCAATTATTTGACTTCTTCTGTATTTGTCACAACAGTAATACTCAGGGACTATTCCTGACTCTGTGCTCAGGAGTGACCCGTATGTGATGTCAGGAGACCATATGTGATGCTGGGGATAGAGGTACGGGTGAGTTGAATCTACAAGCAAGAGCCCTACTTACTGCACCTTCCCTTTGGCATAAGAAATCCAGACTTTAGTTACCTCTCCCAGTCTCAAAGGTCTCACCGGGGTCAAGGTATTTCCAGGCCCGATACTAGCAGTGGGGAATGCGGACACTCTGCCGGGCCCCCCACAAACAGCAAACGAAGCCTGGGCAGGTGATGTCACCTGCCCGAGGTCATCCACAGAAAGCGGAAACAGCTGGTCCAGAGCCTGATCTTTATTCCCACCCTTTTCCACACTGCCCTAATTCAGGAAGAAAAGCCTCAAGGCACAGGCGCTTGTGTGCTCCCAAGACTGAGGCAGGTTTGTGAGGCCTGAAAATGATGTTCCCTCTGCAGCCCTGAGCCCAGACTCCACCCTAAAGATTCTGGCTGAGTCTTCCTCCCACGTGTGTTCACATGGAAAAGTCAGGTTGGACTGTGTGGAATTTTCTTTTTTCTAGACCGTCTGGATGGGTGAGGTGCTGTCACTTCTCACGGAACGCTGGTGTGCTGGGCCCAAACCCATGCAGTCACTCCTTGGGTTCCAGACATTCCAGTGACTTCATCTAGTGAAAGGCGTGGGTTGGGAAAGGCTGAAAGGCTGCTGGGTGCGTGCGGGGCAGGAGCTTGGGGTCGGCCGCGCTCAGGAATGCTGGACTGAAGCTTTGTAGGAAGCCACAGTGATCCAGGGCTCTCTCCCTCCTCCACTGTTTTCCCCAGACTGCACAAAGTTTCCCAGGATCCAGTTATCCCTGGAGGACCCTGCCAAACAATTACCCTTCTTCCACCAGGTGTCAAAAAATAAAATGGCTATGAGATACCATTTTTCACCCAGGGAACAGATAAAATTAAAAATCGGGATGGGGTGGGGTGTGATAATTCAAAGGACTTTGTGTGCTGGAGTCCCAGGCATCATCCCCCAATACTACTGGGAGTCTTCCGTGAGCACTGAATAGGGAGTAGTTAGCAAAAAGAAGCTGGTGCTGTCAAGTCATTAAGTTAGGGTGCAGGGCAACAGGAATTATCACCTACCACAAGAGGAGTGCTAATTGGAGAAATCCACTAGCAAACAATTGGGTATTATCTCAAAAAACTACAGATTAAAGACCTAATGAGCCAGTAATTCCATTCTCAGGTAGACAGAGAAACCCTTTTAGAAGTTCACTAGCAGATGGGAACGAGACTGGTCCTGGTAGGTAGTACTGACTACAATAACAAACACCCAGAAATAACTCAAATGTTCCTTCTCAGCGGAACAGGCTATGCCACAGCAGGTAACCCAAAGGAGCATTTGTCAAAATGGGCGATTTGCACAAACTCAACGCCAGAGCGATAGTAGAGCTGATGAGAGCATTTGCTTTGCCCAAAGCCAACCAGGTTCCATCCCGGCAAAAACAAAACTAAAAGAAACAAACTGTTTAAAGACAGTGATGCTTGT